CTGAACCCCCAACAGATCTGGTCAGATGTATTCGCATTCGGGAGGAGACAGAAGTGAACGGATGCATAGACAGCGTGACAAGATAAAGACAACAGAATGGCGCCCCTTTTAACGTGGATCAAAGTATTGTGCGCGCGCGCTAATCAAGAGCCACTTGGATGTGATGGCAACAACGTGCTGAACAGCTTGTGAAGGCCTCTCATAACTGCGGACACACGCTGGAGGGAAAATGGGCAGCCGGCTAGGTAAGGCTTCCTCCGTTAATAAGGCCCTAAGCGTGATCCTAGGAGGGAAATATATATTGGAGCCCTTGAAAAATGGTACCAACTATAAAATTATGTTGCATCAAAAGTACTGGAGGGTGGACATGAATCCGCAAGACTGAAGAGTGTAATGAAAACCTAGTCACGCTGGCTGCACGTTTATTTTTGCCCAAGGATAAAGGAGGGTTGCCACCATTGCGTAAGGTCAACTTGTATGGCCACCTAAACCAGTATAGGCACACACCGCCCAATTAAAATATGTGGCTTTGCGATAAATTTAAGGAAGGATAAATATTTCTACATCTCAACCCGGACACTAACCTTAATATAAAACTAAGTTATAACTAGATTCTTAACTATAGCCATACCTTTTACCTAAACCGTCCAGTTAACCCGAACGCAAACCCTTACCCTCAAGATAATCCTGGCCTTAAGCCCAACCATAAAACTAATCCTAATCTTAACCCTAACCCTCACCGTAATCCTACAACAAAAAACCACAGGTATTATGTGCCGTTCGTGTTCCTGTGTCCTGCTTAGGCGGCCATAAACGTCATCCTTACCCACTATTGTTAAAACAAAGTCCCCTGTACCCTCAAAAACGCGGTTAATCGTTACAAACATTTCCTAAAATCCGATGGTGAGTTGGTCCCCGCTGAATTATACGGTTATAATCGAACGTGTATACCACAAGCATGGCAGGCGGCGAAAAAAAACAAAGTTTGGTGGAGCCTTTGGGGTGAGCTCTAAATTCATGTTCTAGGTCGCGGTAGTTCGCTTCTTCTTGACGTAAGTGAATAGCGCGTAGCCTCAGTGCTTTTGTGTTCACGAGTAGATTTGTCAGAGAAAGAGCTGCAAGTAAGCCACAAAACCATTGCCGTATTTGGTTGATGTACTTTTCAGTTTAAAATTGGTATCAGTAGGCTCCTAACCATCTGAGGAATTTTATTCAAAAACAGAAACTCCCTCGGCAGGTCTCAGTTTGATAGGTTAATTTTTTACTAGGTTGCTACATATATAATTCACTTATGAATGATAAGCCGATCCACTTACCGTGCGGTCTAAATTATAGGGGTTTTTCACCAAGATCGTATTATAATTTCTGCCTTAAGGATTCACTAAAGTTAGCGACTGCTAAAGTGAAAAACTTTTCCTTTTTGAAAAGGTTGGTTCGAACTGGTCAGTTGAATTGGAGGGCGCACGAAAAGAGCCATTCAGTAACGGGCAAAGGTTTATGTGCTTAGAGGTTGACTTACTTTCTTTGATTAAACATCTAGATTCAAATCATTTATCCTGTAAGGAAACCCAATGTCCGTTATTGGGCGGAGATGCAGTATCTGCCTACCGATGCATCCCATGGCTCAGTCACCCCCGGTTCGAATCGCTGTTGAAAATAATTCTGTGACATTCGGCGATTATTCAGGTAGATTCCAACTTCTGCTATCAAAAAGGCTTTGTCGAGAGTTAACCCACTAACACCGCGAACGACTGTCACTTCTCCCCTTCTTCATACTGCCGACCGTTCAGTAATCCTTATTAGACACTGTTACAACAATCACCGAGCAATTTTCTGTTCGTGGATGCAGTCAGTCGTCGTTCTTCGTATCAAAGTCTCTTATGTTGCACTTTAAGCTGATATCTGACTCAGCTTGGCTCCCTTTCAGGAAAGCCACAGTTTAGGCAGGTCCTCCTCGCACTCTATACTTCATAACGTTTCCGTGAGCTTCGGGAGGACCTAAAATCTCTGTCTGTGCCCCTGCTTTTGTGCAGTGGAATTTAAAGTGATTTCAACTACCTTACATAGCGAGGTGTTCCTATTCAAGTGTCCTGCCGCGGGAAGTGAGGGGTGAAGGGCACAGAAGTAATCCCTATCATGCAGTACGTTCAAATGTACTGAGTCAGGTTGGCGTGATCAAACGCTTCTTAACTGCTAGAGTGAAAGACCACTACTTGAAGGACCTCGCAATTCGAAAGTTTCATTTCAAAATTGACTTTAAGCCTTAAACGCTCAGAAATGTCGCCTTATGTTCCTCGGCACACTATCCGACAGATCCAAATAAAGACAATTGGCGGTCTTCTTGAGCAAGGTTATTGACCAAGCATTCGCTTCCAGTGCAATTAGCACGCAGATTGATCCCCAGACTTCTTATTTTTAAGGGCTTTTACGACCCCTACGTTACGTCCGTCCTAGGTGTAACGGATTAGCAGGCCATCAGATATTTAATTTAAATACGAGAAAGCATAAGTGGCAGGAGGTGGTTATGACGAATTGCCCCTCCTCTCCTATTACAAGTAACCTTACGCTAATTTCCAGGAATTTCCGACTAGTCATACCACTGAATTAAAAGTGAGGAATGTGTGGCCTTCATCAAATTCATATTTCCAGACAGGGTTTCATGCAACAGTTGAACATTAACTTTTTTTCATACAACGATTCGGTGGTTTATCTATGTTAAATTTTGTCTGGGGTCGAAGATAAACAAAGTCTACTTCTCATTTTAGTGACAGTGCTTCCAACTCCGTAGATACGGATGAAGTCCCACTCAGGAAACTCCCCAACACACCAGCTTACTTCACTAGCAACTTCGAGCGAGAAGAAAATGGACTTCATCCACCTGTCAATGTCCTTCAGACAAAAAACGCCATCAGCGCAAACTCCTCCGAATATGTGGAAGGCCCTGCATATAAGCACAGTGATCCCACTCCTGCAATGAACAAAAAATATTCATCCGACCTCACAGACGATTATTACCTATGGGAACTTGATTGTTATCAGCGCGGCCTTACATGTGTCGGAGATGCACTCAGTTATCACGGCAAGTATCTTCCGACAAGTCACTCCGAAATTTCCACTAGAACTCCGGGGATTGAACTATCGGAAATGATTCCCATTCGGTATGAAGGCTTCGAACAAAGGCCGAATCCTTACGGACGGTTGGAAATTGCAAGTTCACCGAACTCCACAGACTATTGGCGGAATTTATCAACACACTATCCTACAGAATTCCCGAATTCGCAAGCAGGTGTCTTGTCTTAGAGACTTGGGATAAGACCTAGACTGCAAGAAGACGCTTGCTATTTTCTTCTCAGTTGCAAACATAATTCCTACTGCTTTTCGGAGACATTTCAAAACACTTCTGGAAAGCCGAACAATACATTTTTACTTTCGCCACACCTTGCATGCGTTACAAAGGTAAAGTTAGAATACTTGTACTCTGTGACTCGGACTCAGTTTATTAAGGTGAGAGAGTGATGATGATGACGATGATGATGATGATGATGATGATGATGATGATGATGAT